TATTTTTGAGAGACCACAAGTGGGGGAGGGGCAGAGAGAGAGGGAGACACAGAATCAGAAGCAGGCTCCAGGCTCCATCCTGTCAGCACAGAGCCCGACATGGGGCTCAAACCCACGAATTGTGAGATCATGACCTGAACTGAAGTCGGATGCTCAACCAACCGAGCCACCCAGGTGCTCCAGGGGTTGCAAATTCTTTCCTAAACTGCATATTCAAGAGGTCAATGAGTATTAATCTCATAACTGAAACTATGGTAATAGATTTAATTGTAACTTACCATTAGCATTTATTAAATAGAGTTTATATTATGTGACAGCATAAGAAAAGTCAACCAAATTATAGAGTAAAATTTTATTCTCTAGAGCATTTGAACAATAAATTATTCTTCATAGCTGCCAGTGATTCAGAAGTTCCTAAAGATATTGGGGTGGAGGGGTGTTACTTATTAAAGCTTCTATTATTTAGACCCTGAATAAAATGAGTTTGTTGTACTGATCTGAAAAATATCATCTGTGTATTTGAATGAATGGTTTTCTCTCACTGGCTTAGTTTCTTTATTTTTAGGTGGGGATGAAAATATCTACTTTTTTCCTGGGGAGAGAGTGTTGAGTGAATTTGTTTCTATACAGTGTGATATGAAATATGTTAAAGCCAATGAAATATGCAGCCTATATAATTCTTTCCTGGTATTCCTTTGGGAATCACCATTATTTTTATGAAAATAAGTTTGTTAATAACTTGAGATGTGAGGAAGTCTGCTCAAGCTCAAAGTATTATGCATTGCAAATCTGAAAACAATACACACTAAACATTTCTGCAAATGTGAGTCCTGAATATTCTTGTTCACTGTAGGTCACTATGCACGGTTCCCTCCCTATCCCAGGCAACTCAGTGAACAATTTGCCTGTCTATACCTAAAAGGCAAGAGTTCTGGTTGTTGCTGGGTTTTTTCCTTGGCAGGAATACTTGGAAATTTTAAACAATTTAAATATCAACTGACTTATGTTCCCTTTACCCTTTCATGGAAATGTCAAGCATTCTTATTTTCAATACTAATGAACAACCACCAATTGTTTTAATTTCATTATTTTCTCAACTGAAAGAGTGCTTACAGAGCACAGAAATAGCTAGCCTTTCTTTTTATAGATCTCAGTGTGAGCCTGAAACAAGTTTAGATTGAAAGACAAAAGAGAAGTCAGATTTTTTTTTTTTGCCCTGAATGTAATTCTCCTGATGAAGCTAGCCTTCTTCAGCCCCCCAGTTGAAAAGATAGGACCCAAAGAGAAGATTTCAAAACCCAGGGCTTACAGAGTCCTCAGAAAGTCACTTAAATAATTTGCTTAACTCTCGGTAGCAATGAATTATATTCGCTCTGTCGGAGATCTACTGAGATTCTTAAAATTAGCCAGAGGAAAGTTCTGCCACCTTAAAAGGTAACAAATCCTAGGAGCGATTATTTGGCTTTCTCTTCACTGCCCAGGCACAGCATCCAGCATACCACAGCACAAAGCGTGGACTGTACTCATTTTGAAATTCAATCTAAATAGTGTGATTTGCTGAACAAACTCTTCCACTGACTTGCTACTCCCTCCACAGGAGGAATGTTAGAGATTTTGGAAATACTATTTACCTTTCTAGCAGTACCTTTCTACGTTAGTTCACTGAATGACATACTCTAGATCTGGATAAGTAAATGTGTCTTCCAAAAGGATAGTACTGTCTTTCTTGATCCTGAGGGATAGTTCAGGAGAACAAGGTTGAACAAGTGGTCTGTGTTCGTGTATTAGAAAAATATAGTGAGCTAGATGTAACCCTCAGCTCACACAGGTTTGTCTGCAAAGTACATGTGGGGCGTCCGCCGTGCAGCCGTGTGGTCTGGTCCTGCCGAAATGATACTGGGCTACCATCAGGGCCAGAGAGGGCGAGAGTGTGTGCCAGGTCTTTGTTCCATGTAGTGTGCTCTTTGGCTGCAACTTCCAAAGCTTATGACTTTCCGGACACAAGAAAACACAGTAGAGATCTCCTCCATGAACACGTCTCCCTGTCACTTGAGCCTTTTTCTATAAGTTGTGTTACCTTCTTGTTCAGGGATGGCCCGTTCTAGGCAATCAAGGAAAGCTAGGCTTGTAATCATCTTAACATTGCCATCTTACACTCAGTGTGCCTAAAGTTCCTTCTTAATTTATTTTAATTTTTATCATTTTATTTATGTGGAAAGAGCTTTCCTCAAGCGTGTCTTCAGTGTGCTTGAGAGAATTGTGCACTTACCTATTTAATCTGTACTGATTATGGAACTCTCTTTCCTTCACTGCATTATATTCATTTTGATACTTGAGAAGTTGTTCTCTCATTTTAGAGACCTCAGTGGTGAATGCCTCAGGAAAATTATCAGCTTGCTGCAGGTGAAATTGCTGCTGTTGTATTTGCTTGGTGAAACGTTTGGCATCCTGGAGCAGCTGGACCTCTGACTCCTGTGTGCTGGGAGCCATGAAACAGAGATTGGAATAATGAGAAAGGTGTACTTTTAACATCCATAGGAACTCCTGTAGAGATCTAGCAAGGAGAGGAGGGAGCGTGTCCACACAGCTCCTGGTTCCTTCCGTTCCTCAGTACAATTCAATTCAGTGATGTTTGTGCCAAGTATTACAGTAGGTACTAGAGGTGAATGGAACTCACAATCTAGGAAGGGGAACAGATGGAATAGGAAGCTGGAGTACCAGCTGACAAGTACTACCACTATTGTGTAGATCAAAATGGTGGGAGAGACAGAGAAAGCACTGAGTTGGATGCGAATATGGTATTTTTATTGGGCTTTGAAGAACAATCATGACTTCCCGGACTGGCAGGGGGTGGGGGTGGGGTTGATAATAAGAGAGTGGGTCCTCCCTTTAACTGCCTCAGCAATGCTGGCTCTAATTCTTGAATTCTCCTGACCTGACTGTAGGGAAATTTTTTCCTCCTTAATGAACTAAGAAACAATAAAGTTTTCTAATGACACTTTACTAAGAAACTGGGAAGAAAAATTTTCCTATAAAATTATGGACATAAACTCCCTTACAGGTTTCTGATCCTGTCTTCAGTGTCTGGCTAGAGCCAGATTTAAATGTCACAGTTGAGGAGGATCCCCTATCTAGGTCTTGTTGCTATATAGGAAAAAAGGTTAAATATCTGGCAAGAAGCAGATTTGAATGGACACAGAAACTGGACTTGGTGAAAGCTTCTAAAACTCATTCATCTGTGCTGCAAGCTAGCCCCAGCTGTAGCCTTACCAGCAGACTTGATTCACGTTTCCCAAAAACCCAGCTGCCTCACATTAGCTACCTCTCCTGTTTGGAAGCGAGACAGGGCTGGTGCCATTTCCGGTTTTAAAGTCAGCACGCCTCTTTGGTGAACACCCCAGCAAGGACCCTTGCCGGGAGAAATCTTCAGGTTTCTCCTCATTTGCAGAGATGCCCAATGACTTGACAAAGGCTGTCTCAACTGAAGTTGTCTGCTCCACCCATTTCCCCTAGTGTTAATATGTCATTTGCTCAATAACATCCAGTGAGACATTTACTGGGACATACTATGCCCCAGGCACTATGTTAGGTACCAAATACCAACACAGCTATGGTGGTAACACATATGATTTCTGTTAACAGAAGTTGGAGTTTTTTCTTACAATTTGGTTTCCTTGCATGTTAATATACTTGGTAAATCCAAAGTGGCCTGATCTGCAACTGTGGAATTGTGAATGGTTGTTGGCTTGTGCCACAGTGCCTGATTTCCCCCAGAAAGAAAGTGGACAAGGTGGTTAGGGTTCCAGCCAGAACACAAATGGTAATTCGCCTACATGGACTTAGACTATGCACCAGCATAAGAGAACTGAACAACTTTTATAACGTGGTTCCTATGCAAAATTCATTCAGCTTCAGTTCAGCATTTCCAGGCTCTATATGCCCTGTCACAGCCCCAGCAGCAAGAGTGGAGAGTTGGCGTCTTCGTGCTTTTCTCGCCCCCCAGGCGGGAGGAGTGGGAGAGGGTGGTGGGTGTTTGTAATCACAAGAGAGGGAACTAAAGGGTCAAGAGGAGGTAAAATGTGGGTAGCAGAAGGGAAGTAATGGTTTTGCAACACAACCTGGAACTAGGAAGAAATAACCAAGGCCATAGTCTTGGTCCTACATGGCCGTCTGTCACTGGGGCCCGGGCAAGGAGGAAGCTGAATCAGCACCCCACAAGGCTCTCTGGGCTGGGCTCTAGACTAGAGCCATCTGGAGGGTGAGAAGTGTTGCTGTAGGACTCGTATTGGCAAAGAGTCCTGAAGGGATGTTCTGAGAACTGCATGGATCCCCCCCCCCCCCCACTTGGGCAAAGTATGGTAGCAAGGAAAGATTACCCAGACTTTCCATCTAAATCCTCCAAGTTCGTGTATCTTGAGAATTATGTGTCTACACTGCCAGTCGGGGCCAATTGTGGGAAATGACGGATAAAATTGGCAGAAGCGTTAGCTGAGGCTGCACAGAGTGAGGCAGAGGAGGAGGAGGAGGAGGAGGAGGAGGAGGAGAAGAAGCCTGAGCTAGGGGATTGTTAGGAACCTGAATGGAGTGAAAGTGAAGGGTGCATAGAGATGGAGCTCTGCTCTTCTCCTGCTGCTTCACTTTTCCCTCATGCTCCCTTCCTGAAAGTAGTCAAATGACTTTGGGCAGGAAAAGAAGTAGAGCTAATGTTTGCAGATTGGGGGACAGGATGGATGGGGAATGACAGGAAGGAGTTTCTATCCATTGCTGCCTCTCCTTGGCTTTTGATGAAGACCCTATGCCAGGTTATGAGGCAGGAGGTTATGGAGAAAAGGAAGAACAAGGCTGGGGAGTAGTAAGGAGTAGCAGCAGAGCAGGATTTCCCTTCTTTCTTCACTCTCCTTCCCTCTTGATTCCCACTGGCTGATAGCAGGTGCTTAGGAAACTTTGTGGAATTGTCCTGTGGAAGCATATTCTTACATGCTGTTGATTGTGACCAAGATTAGGAGAGTAGCCTAGGGTAGAAGGAAGAGGTGAGAAAACTGAAGCCTCAGCAGATGTAGCCTGGGGTTGTGCTAGTGCGTGAAGGGAGGTAGGGAGCATGGAACGCTGTAGGAGTGTCCCGTTGTTGATAATGTCAGTGTCCCACCAAGTCCCCTTGGCCCACTCTGGGGTCACCTGTAGCTTTGGTGGACAGTTACCGTACATCCCGACAGACCTGTGTGCTTCTGCCTGAGAGCTTTGTCTAGCCATAGCAACTTACTTGGCTTCTCAAAAGGCATGCTAGAAGTGCGGGGGGCTCCTCTCCCTAGGAGTAACCTTTGATCAACGATGGATGGAAATTAGTGGACAAATATCCCAGTTTCCTTACCCTTCGGTGGGAGAGTTCCGAGGTGTGTTCTACACACTCAGAGGGTCCTCAGTGAGACTGAGCACCAGTTGGCCACAGTGTTAACCTGCACATTAACACACCCTGGCTGGATTCCTCTCTTCCCCATCTCACTTCCCCATTCTCCCACGATAATTTCCGGTATCACTTCTCAAACTACTTGAACTCAAATCTTTGCCTCAAGGCCTGCTTTTGGGAGAATAAAAAACAAGATAGATCCCATCACAAAAAAAGAAATATAAATATGATAAAAGATGTCTCCATGTCCGCAAATAGCATACCTTATCACGGTATCATGTAGCAAGGTGTACTTCGCTTTTAACTCTGCCATTCTGGTTCCAGGAAGTTTTCCCATAGCATGTAACTAACAAAGAGAACACAAGACCACGATTAGCCATCACACTCCTTATGCTTAAAGCAGAGATAAAATGGATATATGGATATCTTATAAGATCTTTCCAGTCGACATTAGAGAGGAAACACACCAGACAGGATGGTATATTACAAAAATGCTGGGTGTTTGGAGAAAATAATTCTAGTTCTATTCTGCCTCCAGTAAGCTGTACGTTCCTGAGCAAGGCTCTTACCTCTCTAGACTATGATTTCTCCATCTGTAAATTGAGGGAAGGAATTGAGTTAAGTTCTTCCAATTCTAAGAAAACATATTTCTAGTTTTAGCAAACAGCCTGAATAGTATAGATCTTAAGTTAAAAACTTACAACAATTTGTAAGTTGAGAGAACTAATAAATTATTTATTAGTAATAGCTGAGCATCTATTACAAGCAAGTGTTATATTTCAGTTATTTCAAAGATGTTTTGTGAAGTAGGGATGAATCGCCATTTTAAACTAAGGTTTGGAAAGTTAAGTGATTTGTGTCAAAGTTACAGAGCTAGTTAAAGGTGGTGTGTCAGGATGTAAACCCAAGTGGTCCAGCTCTAAAAATCCACGACCACTCCCCTATACCACAATCTCTCTGCCTCTACTGTCGAAGAAACATGAGAGTTTGTTTGGTACATAAAGTGCTATTGTTTCTTTTTCATTTTGGGTAAAAGAACTTTTACTCTCAGAACTAGATGATAAGTAGTAATAGACATCACAGTGCAACACAAAACATTGAAGTTTTACCATAATGCAGTGAGCATTTGTGTTAGGTTTGACTTTACCTGAGCTGCTACTGACATAGTATCAAAAAATGGAGCTAAAGGAAAGATTTGTGTTTATCAATGCCCTGTGGTTCTTACCTCCAAAATATCTCCTGAATCCATCTGTTTCCCTCTCCTTTCTCTGTGACATCCCTGGCTAGTCTAAGTGACATCCCACAATAACGAAACCTCCACTGTCCCCCTAGCCTTCCCTGTGTCCACTCAAGGCCCTTGTCTGTCTACTTTCAGGGAAAGCTTTTAAAAAATCAAACAAGGTTTTGCTATGCTGGGTGTTCAGAACTCAAATGGAATAGAATTCAAGACCCTGGGTGTGACCCCTGAGGTGCTGTGTGACCCGGCTGTTTTCCAGGCTTCTTTTCCAACCCGCTTCTCAAGCTCTTAGTGCTCCAGCCACACTGCCTGCCTTTTATTTCTGTAAATGCACGAGTCTCTTTCCTTCCCCAGAGTCTCTGTGCTGGTCATTCCTCACTTTTCCTTGACTTCACCCCTATTCTTTCTTCATACCTCAGCTTAAATATCAATTTGTAATCAGGCCTTCTCTGACTTCTAAATTAAGATAGATACACACACCACTCACCCCAAAAGAATGCTGTAATGCTGTACTTAATAACAGATGCCATATTACAATCTGCAGTAATAAAGAAATGTGACTAAAGAAATGTTACTCCCCAACTCATGTATAAGCACCATGAAGAAAGGGCCTGGGCTACTCTGTTCTTCACCGTATCCTCAAGCCAGCAGAACCCCAGACCTGGTGCAGGTACTTGGCAAACATGTGCTGCATGAGTGAATGAGTGTGGCTGATAAAATGTGATGGTCTCAGTCTCCACAGTAAGGTTTCGTGGTCTCTCTACCCAAATCAGGGTAGAAAAAACAGTGTTAAATCCACTACGAAACCCTTTTGTGAAAGTGTTTGGGATCTTTTGAGAGTCACCTACAAGCTGGTACCAGACCTGGGTTCCAATCCTCACAACCCTCATTTTCTGTATATGGGTAGATATGTAAACAAGGTTTTTTTAAGTTTTTATTTAAATTCTAGTTAGTTAACATACAGTGTAATATTAATTTCAGGTGTACAATTTAGTGATTCAACACTTCCATACAACACCCTGTGCTCAACACAAGTGCCCTTCTTAATCCCCATCACCTTTCAAACTTATCCCCCTCTGGTGACCATCAGTTTGTTCTCTGTAGTTGAGAGTCTGTTTCTTGGTTTTCCTATCTCTCTTTTCCCTTTGTTCATTTGCTTTGTTTCTTAAATTCCACATATGAATGAAATCATATGGTATTTGTCTTTCTCTGACTGACTTATTTTGCTTAGCATAATACTTTCTAGCTCTTTCCACATTGGTGCAAATGGCAAGATTTCATTTTTTATGGCTGAGTAACATTCCACGGTATGTACATGTGTGTATATGTACATCATATCTCCTTTATACATTCACCACTTGATGGACATTTAGGCTCTTTGCATAATTTGGCTATTGTCCATAGGGCTGCTGTAAACATCGGGGTGCATGTGTCTCTTTGAATTTGTAATTTTGTATCCTTTAGGTAAATACCTAATAGTGCAATTGCTGGATCCAGGGTGGTTCCATTTTTAACTTTCTGAGGAAGCTCCATCCTGGGTAAACAAGATTTTTAAGCCCTGTGAGAAGGTTCTACTTCTTGCTATATCAAATATCTTAAAATGTATTCATATGCCGCCTTAAATATAATTTACATGTAACTTTTTAAGTGTTGAGTTGCTGTTGGTAGGTTGACCTAATGTTACATTTTATAGATATTTAATTAAACACATTCTGGTTTTTCAGTTTGCTTTCTGTATTTTGAGCTAATATGTAATTTACTTCAGATCGCAAGCATTTTCATTGGTTCCTAAAAACAGTATAGGACATAGGTACTGTGCCCTCAAGGTCTAATATGTTAAAAAAAAAAACAACTTTGCATCAGGGCACTCTTAAAGGAGAAAAAGTACTGGGAAAAAAGTTATGAAAAGGTTAAGTGTATGAATGTGTGTTTGCATGTGTATGTGTGTGATATGAAGACCATGTGGGGACCAGTCTTGTAATTAGTCAACTAGGTAAGCCATTGGTAATTATGGACTCCTTTGTTTAGAAACAAATAGAGTATTTATAGTTTTGTTTTCAAGCTGAAAAGATTTTTTTGTCTCACCCATGGTCCTGCATGATGGAAGCAGAAGTAAATATGACATGGGTCCTGTCCTAAAGTAGCTCACAGTTTGAGAAGCTAGACACAAAAGAAACTATATAACACTTACACTATGCTCAGTAGTTATATTGTTAGTAAATAACTGCATTTGGTATTTTGCGATCATTTCCTTGACATTGTAAGTTAAAGCAAATAAGTAAAATTACAAATTACAGACCACTCCCAGGGGATGGAACTTCCAGAATGGTCACTTGAAGAGCTTGATGAATCTTCTACCTCAAAGAAACATTAATTAAACTCACCAGAATTATCTAACACAGCCATTTAAAGTCCCTGGAAACTGACCTAAGGGCATGCAAAAACTTTAGATGTATGTATTTAATAAAATCTGAAACTCAGTAAGAACGGTGGGAGACTGTGGCACATGAACCATGAACTGCCTCCATTGCCCTGAGGTCCATGTTGTGGAAGAACTATTCCAGGCAGGCTTGGCAGCCAGTAAAGAGCCCATCTCCCCCACCTTCCTATTGTTAAAGACCTATTCAGGTGGGTGGGGCAAGGTTAAAAATAGAAAGGCAAGAATATCTACATCAGAGACATCAGAGACTGCACACTTCCGGGGAGATACACTTCACAGAATTAGTCCAGCCAAGTCACTAAACAAATAAGCAAATGAACAATGCTAACAAAAACGTAACAGCAACAACAAGAAGCCTGGGAAGATTCAGAAACCAGAGTTGTTACAATATATTATCTAAAATGTCCAATTATCAACAAAAAATTATGAGCCCTTCAAAGAAATAGGGGGAAAAACGGCAAAAACTCTTTAGGTGGGTAGCAGGTGTTGGACTTAACCAAGACTTCAAAGCAGCTATTATAAATATGTCCCAACAATGAAAGGAAACCACATTTAAAGAATTAAAGGAGACTGTAATGATAGTTCATCAAATAGCAAATATCAATAAGGTAGAAGAATAAAAACTAATATGTTAAATGATGTTCTTTGGTCAGTAAGAATGTATGGTTTTTGTCTTTTTATGTTTGCTTATCTGTATCTTCTAATTTTCTCCAACACATATGTATTGCTTTTAATAATAAGAGGTTATTAAAACATGCTTGAAAACTATTGCTGTAAACAACAGAGATTCAGAGCAAAATTTCAAACTAAAGTGTGCCATGATCAGATCCAACTGACATATACAGACAGATTCTAGGTCAAAGGTAGTGAAAACTCAGCTGTGTTTTCCCTAAGTTAAGTCTCTTCTAAAATACCAGTTAATGGAAGCCTGGTGGTAGGTGGCCAGGGGTGCGTGTTGGTGGGTTTTATGGCCACAGAAAAAGCAGGACGGCTAGAGAGGTTTCCTTTCCTACTTGTTTCCAACACTCCAGAAGCCATACTGCCTTTGATGCCTACAAATCTGTCAAGAAAGCTGGCAGGGCAAAACATCTGATATGTTTTTATAGTTTCTGTATAAATTGGAAAAAGTTAAGTCATAGACGTTTAGAAAGAGGATTGATAAGCTATCTTTTATTTGGTCTACTTTCCTAAAAACAAATCTGTCTTAAAAAGAAAAAGACCAAACTGTAAAGAATGGATTTTAGCCTCCTTAAAAATAAAATTCATAATCTAGATGTAATACTCATCAAACAGTGACTTTCTGTGAAATTGTAAGCTGTCTCCTTAAGCAGGTCTATCTCTGGTTGGAAACTTGAGACTTAATTCTAATAGATGAAATGTTTCACTTATAAACATGGAAAAAATAGTTGCATTTTCACACTGCATGATACAAATGGGCACAGAAAACAAGTTTGTCATGTTTTAAAAATGCAGGATCTAAGAAATAGTGCATAAGACCCAATTCAAATTGTCAAAGAGTATACATAAGGAAAGGTTAGATAGTATGTCATTAAGTTCATAAATATGATTGCACAATAGGTACTTGTGTTACTGAACTGCCTAGTTGGTAATTGAGACTGGAAGGAAACATTTACTCTAGAGCTGAAAGTTTAACAAGAGTTCATGATTC